CGCTCTACAACACACCTGTCCTGGGGAAGGGCTCTCTCCCCGACTTGATGCTACGCTGCGCTCGATGCGGGGCTTAGCACTTCGTTGGCAAGGGCCCAGATCCAGCGAGGGAGAGTGGATAGAGCTAGCTAAGCAGCTTCTGGAAGATATTCAGGAGAATTTTGACCAGGCAGTGGCGGATGGGGATCGTATCTCAAAGGAATCTTGGGATGCGTGGCAATCTCGTGCCCTAGCAGGCTCTGCGAGGATCCTGCACAGGTTCACCCAAATTAAGAAGCGCTGGCAGCCTACTGTTATCCAGAGCTCTCCCGGAATTTTCACGTCGGATCCCGGTGAGCTCCTAGAAGATGAGGCTCGAAAGCTCGCCGGCTTCTGGCAAGCCTCTCAGTAGCCTCCAGAGGCGTGGATTCCGAACTGCGACTGCTTCACGAGAGCGACCCCCAGTGAGATCAGAGGTGCTTCGAAAAGTTTCAGCCGCCACACCTCTCAGAGCTTAGATGGCTTTCACCCTCGGCATGCGGCAGCACGATCAGGGGCTGGAGGTCCTCGCGGTGCAGTACGAGTGCGTGGAGAGACTTGGTCTGTTCCCGCAGCAGCTCCTGTGGATGCTCATGCCTCTTCTGGAGAAGCCCAAAGGCGGTTTACGACCGATTTTGCTCCTGGGATCTTTCGTGCGCATCTGGGAACGATTGCGTCGTCCTGTGGTCAATGATTTCTTGGACCGGGCCTATAGGCCCTACTGGTCTTTCGGGGCAGGGCAGTCAGCTGAGGTTTCGATTTGGCAGCAAAGCGTTCGAGCAGAAGAGGATTCTTCAGAGGGAAGGTTACTGCAGGCTTCATTTGGGATGATATGAAGTACTACGAATCGTTTCGGCTAGTATGGCTTAGAGATCGTGAGATATACTGGAACGTGCCGATCGTACTCGTCAAAACTTTGTTTAACCTATGGAGAAGCCCACGGATTCTTCGACTCGGCACGCACCACTGCCCACTTACAGTTGTTGCAGAATGTGGCCTCCCAGCTGGCGACATCTTCAATGATGTTTGTTAAGGTTTATGCTATGTTCGAGTTTGACTTGCTTTCGAATCGGAATCCAGGAGTTGATTTGGGTACCCACGTCGATGATGGCACTGTTGCGGCGTACGGCGACGAAGACACGGTCATCGCGGATCTTTCAAAAGCTGCGCGAGATCTTAAGCAGGTTCTTTCCACCAGGCTGGGCGTCGAGCTCGCCGAGGACAAAGCGGTATCGTTTGCGTCGTCGTCCAAGCTCGCGAAAAGACTCTCGCGCTTGATAGCCCCGAGTTGCCCATCAGCAGCCCCGAATGCAACGGTCTCGCTGGGAGTGGATTCCGCTCCAGGTCAACGGCTTCGCGCGCGGCACGCTCGAGCTCGACGTAGACAGCGCTTTCAACAGATGCGGACTCGAAGACGCACATTGCAATATTACCGCAAGAACCTTCCCCGTGACAAGGGGTGCATCAACAAGGTATACCTCGCAAGACTCAGGCCAGCTGCGTCTTTCGGTTCCCTGGTATTGGGCTTTTCGGATAAGGAGCTCACGGACATCGGTCTGTGCTGATGTCGGGGGTCACGCCGGCGCATCGAGGAACATGGTTGACGGCTCAATTGGCGTTTCACGGGGGCCCCGCTTGGCGTCAAGCTGTTGCTCCTGCCCAGCAATGGGCTAACAGCCTGTGGCAGAGCATCACGGACCCGAAGGGGAGCCACTACTCGTTCAGGGAACACATCCGTATTTGGAGGGCGGTCTCGTCTACGTCTCATGAGCTTGGGCCCTTGTGCTGGAGCAGGTCCCGCGGCCCTGTGCACAGAATGCTCCTCTCCCTTCATCGTATCGGGTGGCGCGCAGATAAATTTGCTTCGCGGCGAGATGATCGCGATGTTGTTGTCGATCTCATGTACACCTCGCCTGCCACGGTTGCGAAACTTTTAGAAGCAGGGGTCCAACGATCTCTCGAACGCAAGCTTGCCTCTGACCTCCCAGATTTTTTCAGGAGAGCGAGTGTGCGTTGATCATGTGCGCACCCTGTACTGGTCGAGCAAGACCAATGCCCGACAGAAATACTGGTTAGCGGCATGTTTCTTGGGAGCCTGCTGGACAGGGGATCGGCTTCGAGAGTCGGGGTATTTGCACGACGTGGGTTGTCCTTTGTGTGGTATGCCAGATTCCCTTGTCCACAGGCAGTGGTTTTGCGACGCTGAGGAGATCCGCCAGACTCGCATTGATTGCGTTGGAGAAGACAGTATCCTCGAAGCTCGCAGCAAAGTTTATGACGATCCTCTGTTCTGGTCGCGTTTGATCGTCGCCGAGCCGCATGGCATCCCTGATCCGTCCTGGGACCTCGACCCTATCCTCCAAGATGCCGACGGCCAGGCGATCGAGATCGACCGTTTCCTGGAGCTGACTCGAGGGTGCGATGTCGTTGTGGACGGCTGTGCCACCCAGCTGATTTTTCGTGAATTGAATCGAGCTGCTTATGCGGCCGCTTTTATGGCTCCGGGGGAAGAGTACGTCATCCGTGCTCGCATCATTGGAGTCGTGTGGCCAACCATGTTTCGAACGCCCCAATCTGCAGAACATCTGGGGCATGCCACGTTGAGCTCGCTTGTTGATCGTGTCTGTAGCTCGCCTTATAGCGACTGCATGGGAGCCGTTCGTCTGCAGAATTCCAGTTGGAGGGAACAGTTGTCCCCAACGCAAGTTTTTGCAGGTTTGCGGCGAACGGCCATGGAGAGTGATCCTGATAACTTCCTCGGCCTGGCGCGGCACGCCCCAGCCCACCGTTCAGAGGGGGTGATCGAAGCTCTGACGGTTGGGGAGCGCCGCATCGCCCGGGGCCACCAAGACGCTGACATGCTTGCCAAACATGCTCTTACTTTCACCGAGGGGCGTCGGCAGAAGTCTTTGAGGCCCTTGATTCCCTCAGCGTGCGTACCAAGATGCTCGCCAACATGTTTTCTGCTGTGCTATCCTGGTATCCCAAACTTGAGTTCCGCCGCCCACCCAAGGGCCTCCGACCAAGGCTGGTCAGAGGTCTGAGCTGGCACGATTGGCGCGAGGCTCAACCAGGGGTGGTTTGGAGGTGCAGGAAGTGTTTCACCGTTTCTTTTACGAAGGACTGTCCCATGACGGGATGTAAGGGCCTTCCCACGGCCATCAGAAAACTTCGTGGAGCGGAGGTGCGTGGCCATAAGCTTGGCGTCGCGATCGTCCAGGATGAAGCGTCCCAGCCTCTGGTTCTGTGCCTGAGGTGTGGAGCGTACTCAAACAAACGCTGTGTACGCCTCGCTGGCGATTGCCCCCCGCAGATCCCCAAGAGCGGTGAGCAAACCTTGTACCGCATTCGTCGCGGTTTACACCCACGCTGCTCGAGTGAGGCAGCGGTTGACTCCACAGGTCGGCCCGCTACCTCGTTTTTGCTCGAGGCTGCTACTGCGTCCACAGCGGCGCCGAGCAATTCGAGAACCAGGCTCATCCCGACCTCGGGGATGTTGGCACTGGCCGACCGCGTCAAGGCGCGGGAACTGGCGGCCTCTTCGTCTTGTTCATTCTCCGTTTTTTGTACCTCGTTACGTTCTGCCCTGAGGCCCTCGAGGGAAATCGACAACAACATCGTGTTGCTGCTCCCCCTCCATCCCTTCCCTCCTTCCTCCAGCTGCACATCCTCTTCTTGTCCCTCCCTCTCCCCCTCCCCTCCCCCTGACCCCCCCCCCCTCCCCTCCCCCCCCCCCCTCCTCCACCCCTCCTCCTCCTCCTCCCCTCCTCCTCCTCCTCTCCTCCTCCTCCTCCTCCTCTCGTCCTCCTCCTGCTCCTCCTCCTCTCTTCCTCCCTCTGCTCCTCCTCCTCTCCTCTTTGTCCCCCTCCCTCCCTCCTCTCCTCCTTCCTCCTTCCCCCCTCCTCCTCCTCCTCCTCCTCCTCCTCCTCCGCCTCCTCCTCCTCTCTCTCTCCTCCTCCTCCTCCTCTCCTCCTCTTCTCCTCCCTCCCATCCTCCTCCTCCTCCTCCTCCTCCTCCTCCTCCTCCTCCTCCTCCTCCTCCTCCTCCTCCTCCTCCCCTCCTCCTCCTCCCTCCTCCTCCTCCTCCTCCTCCTCCTCCTCCTCCTCTCTCCTCCTCCTCCTCCCTCCTCCTCCTCCTCCTCCTCCTCCTCCTCCTCCTCCTCTCCTCCTCCTCCCTCCTCCCTCCTCCTCCTCCTCCTCCTCCTCCTCCTCCTCCTCCTCCTCCTCCTCCTCCTCCTCCTCTCCTCCTCCCCCTCCTCCTGCTCCTCTTCATCATCACCATCATCATCAGCAGCATCATCGTCAGCATCCTCAGCTTCGTCCTCATCATCATGAACATGATGATGATCATCATCATCACCATCATCAACAGCAGCATCAGAATCAGTATCAACATCACCATCAACATCACCATCAACATCAGCATCAGCATCAGCATCAGCAGCAGCATGAACATCAGCGTCATCAGCAGCAGCAGCATCAGCATCATCATCAGCATCATCGTCGTCATCATCAGCAGCATCGTCATCATCCTCATCATTATCATCACCATCATCATCAGCAGCATCATCGTCAGCATCCTCAGCTTCGTCCTCATCATCATGAACATGATGATGATCATCATCATCACCATCATCAACAGCAGCATCAGAATCAGTATCAACATCACCATCAACATCACCATCAACATCAGCATCAGCATCAGCATCAGCAGCAGCATGAACATCAGCGTCATCAGCAGCAGCAGCATCAGCATTATCATCAGCATCATCATCAGCAGCAGCATCATGATCAGCATCGTCGTTATCATCATCATCATCATCATCATCATCATCATCATCATCATCATCATCATCATCATCATCAGCAGCAGCAGCAGCAGCAACATCATCATCATCATCCACCTCCTGCTCCTCCTCCTCCTCCCACCTCTCCTCCTCCTCCTGAATCCGGCATCGACACCGACGACGAAAACGAACAGTCCACTGGCTGCGTCATCACCCGGCTCTTCGCCAGGTCTACTGGGCTGGTGACGCCCGCGGCCACCACGCCCGCGACCATGCAGCAGGCGAAGTGGCACATGTAGCCTTCCTGCTCGCCACGATGGCCCAAGCTCGAGGTGGAGGAGCAGGAGGAGGAGGACGAGGACGAGGGTCCAGGATCGAGGATCCGGATCTTTGGATGTGCGGCGTCTTTGGGGGGCCTTGGGTGAGGCTCCCATGGCCACAGCAAGGTCCGCCTCAAAATCCTACCACAAGCGGTGTAGGGCGCCTCCACTTCCAACCACCTTCTTCACCCTCCCTAAAAATCAATTGTTCCCCAGAAATAAACACCCCCTCCCTTCTTCACCGCGGGAAGGGCTTTATCACTGTTCCCTAAAAATAAGCACGCCCTTCCCCAGGCAACCGCCAGCCAACCAAAACCAATGAGGCCCCCACCATCCCTGTCAAAAGCAATGTAAAAACAACGTTGGGGCAATATCTTCGGTCATAATCAAAAGGGACCGCAAGCATTTTGTTATCGTTGATTGACAGGGACGGCGGGGGTGCCCGCATGTTGCCTGCTCAGCGCAGGGCCAGCATCCCTGTCAAGAAACTATACAAAATGCACATCGAGATAAAATCTAGATCATGCGCGGGCGCCCCGCGATCACTGCGCATTGGTTGTTGACTGGGACTGCGGGGGCGCTGGCATGTTCCCTGCGATGTGCGGGCCCACAAGACTCTATGACTGCTACCCCGCCACGATTGCATCATAACCATCACCACCACCACCATCACCACCACCATCATCATCATCATCATCATCATCATCATCATCATCATCATCAGAATGACCACCACCACCACCATCACCATCATCATCAGCAGCAGCATCAAAATCATCATCAGCATCATGTTCATCATCATCCTCGTCCCCGTCATCCCCATCATCACCATCAGCATCACCATCAGCATCATCATCAGCATCGTCATCATCATCAGCATCATCATCATCATGATCATCGTCGTCATCGTCGTCATCGTCATCATCATCATCCCCATCATCCCCATCATCATCATCATCATCATCATCATCATCATCATCAGCAGCATCATCACAATCATCATCATGATCATCCGTATCCGCATCCTCATCCTCGTCCTCATCCTCATCCTCATCCTCATCATCCTCATCATCATCGTCGTCGTCATCGTCATCGTCATCGTTATCGTTGTCATCATCATCATCATCATCATCATCATCAACATCAGCAGCATCATCATCATCAGCATCATCATCCTCATCCTCATTCCCATCGTCCCCATCATCATCAGCAGCAGCATCAGCAGCATCAGCACCATGATCATCATCATCCATATCCTCATCCTCATCCTTATCCTCGTCCTCATCCTCATCCTCATCCTCATCATCATCTTCATCATCCTCATGATCATCGTCGTCATCGTCGTCATCGTCATCGTCATCGTCATCGCTATCATCATCATCATCATCATCATCATCATCATCATCATCATCATCATCATCATTCCCATCATCCCCATCATCCCCATCATCATCATCAGCAGCATCAGCATTATTATCATCCTTACCTCCTCCCCATCCTCATCCCCGTCCTCATCCTCATCCTCAACCTGATCCTCCTTAGCATCCTCATCATCATCGTCGTAGTCGTCATCGTCGTCATCGTCATGGTCATCGTCATCGTCATCGTTATCCTCCTCCTCCTCCTCCTCCTCCTCCTCATCATCATCCTCATCCCCATCATCCCCATCATCATCAGCAGCAGCATCAGCATCATCATCATCATCAGCATCATCAGCATCGTCATCGTCATCGTCATCATCATCATCATCAGCATCATCATTATCCATATCATCCCCGTCATCATCATCATCATCAGCAGCAGCATCAGCAGCAGCATCATCATCATCATCAGCAGCAGCATCATCATCGTCATCTTCATCATCGTCACCATCAACATCATCATCATCCTTATCTTCATCCTCATCCTCGTCCTTATCCTCATCCTCATCCTCTTCATCGTGGTCGTCATCGTCGTCATCGTCATCGTCATCGATATCATCATCATGATCATCAGCATCATCATCATAATCTTCACCATCTGCATCATCATCATCATAAACCATAATCATCATTGCCACCACTGCTCCAGCTGTTGCGCGATGGGAATCGCGCGTTTGAGCGGCCGCGGGGCCCCTTCAGGTTTACCCCTGCGGACCTCCTGCGGACCCTCTTACGGCACGGTGCGCAGCGGCAGGCGGAGGCGGCCTCCACGTCTCGGCCGCAGCTGTGGCCGCGGCCCGCCGCTGCATCCCTTCCCCGCACATGTTTCAGCGTCGTGCGTGTATTGTTTCGCAACTGTCCTGGCCGAGGAAAGATGCGCCACGCGTCCGAGCGATGCCAAGCTTCTGCTCGTTGTCCTGCGCGGGGCGGGATGCCGCCGCTGCCCGCCGCCGCAGCCGGCCCCACAACCGTCCTGCAGCAGATCGTTTCCCGAGCGGCGCGGCCAGAAAGCACCCGCCACGGAGCAGGATACTGTGGGAGTTCTGAGCGCGCGTCGCCCCCTCTTCGGGGGGGCGATGCACGCGCAGTCTCAGCATGCTTGGGTGACGCCGACGGGGCGTGGAGCGGCAGCGCCCAGCGGCCCTCCACCGGCGCGGCGCCAGGGGCGGCGCCAGGGGCGCCAGCGGCGGCGAGGACAGCCCCACCAGCGGGCGCCGCGGGGGCACTCGCCGGGAGCGCCGGAGGCAACGCGAGGGCACCAGCAGCTGGACGCGGAGAGAAACAGGGGCCTTCCAGGCGGGGTCCGAGTAGACGGGGTCAGAGGATCGAGCCACATCGCCGAGGCCACGCACGAGAGCGCGGCGAGTACCAGCGGCGCGGCTCGGGGGAGCAGGGCGGGCACCAGAGCGGGGAGCCAGCCGCGAGGCGGGCGCCAGCCGTTCGACTCCGCGAAGAGTGGCGACCACTATCACGTGGAGCGCGAAATCGGGGAGGCGCACATCGGGCACCAACGGGAGCTGTTCGACAGCAATTGCCGTCATCGCCATCGACACCATCATCACCATCATCATCATCGTAATCATCATCATCATCATCATCATCATCATCATCATCATCATCATCATCATCATCATCATCATCATCATCATCACCACAATCATCATCATCATCATCATCATCATCATCATCATCATCATCATCATCATCATCATCACCATCACCATCATCATCATCATCATCAGCATCACCATCACCATCACCATCACCATCAACATCACAATCACCATCACCATCATCATCATCAGCAGCATCATCATCATGAGCATAAGCATCAGCATCAGCATCAGCATCAGCATCAGCATCGTCATCATCATCATCAGCATCATCAACAACATCATCATCATCACCATCATCATCATCATCATCATAATCACCATCACCATCACCATCATCATCAACAGCATCATCATCATGAGCATAAGCATCAGCATCAGCATCAGCATCAGCATCAGCATCGTCATCATCATCAGCATCATCAACAACATCATCATCATGGTCATCATCATAATCATCATCACCATCACCAAACCCATCACCATCATCACCGTCATCATCATCATCATCATCATCACCATCATCATCATCATCATCTTCATCATCGTCATCATCATCAACATCATCATCAATATCATCACCACCATCACCATCACCACAACCGCCATCATCATCATCAGCAGCAGCATCATCGGCAGCAGCAGCAATATCATCTGCAACAGCATCATTCGTCACCATCACCCATCATCACCCATAATCAAAGTCATAAGCATCATCACCATCCATGGTCTTCTCCATCATCATCATCATCATCAGCAGCAGCATCATCATCATCATCAGCATCACCATCACCATCACCATCACCATGAACATCACAATCACCATCACCATTATCATCATCAGCAGCATCATCATCATCATGAGCATCAGCATCAGCATCAGCATCAGCATCAGCATCAGCATCGTCATCATCATCATCAGCTTCATCAACAACATCATCATCATCACCATCATCATCATCATCATAATCACCATCACCATCACCATCATCATCATGAGCATAAGCATCAGCATCAGCATCAGCATCAGCATCAGCATCGTCATCATCATCATCATCAACAACATCATCATCATGGTCATCATCATAATCATCATCACCATCACCAAACCCATCACCATCATCACCGTCATCATCATCATCATCATCATCATCATCATCATCATCATCATCTTCATCATCGTCATCATCATCAACATCATCATCAATATCATCACCACCATCACCAACACCACAACCGCCATCATCATCATCATCAGCAGCATCATCGGCAGCAGCAGCAATATCATCTGCAACAGCATCATTCGTCACCATCACCCATCATCACCCATAATCAAAGTCATAAGCATCATCACCATCCATGGTCTTCTCCATCATCATCATCATCATCATCATCAGCAGCATCATCATCACCAGCATCAGCATCAGAATAATCATCACGATCGTCATTATCAACAGCAGTACCATCATTATCGTCCCTATAATCGTCATCATCGTCATCATCATCATCAAGGTCATGATCTGCATAATCATCGTCATCATCATCATAATCATCATCATCATCACCATCATCATCATCATCATCATCATCATCATCCTTATCATCGTCATCATCATAATATTCACAGTCATCATCATCAGCAGCATCATCGTCAGCGGCATCACCATCATAATCATCATCATCATCATCAGCAGCAGCATCATCATCATGATCATCATCATCCTCATCTTCATCGTCATCGTCATCATCATCATTATAAGCAGCAGCATCGTCATCATCAGCCTCGCTCAGCATCGTCATCGTCATCATCATCGTCAGTGTCATTGCCATCGTCATCATCACCATCACCACCATCACCCTCATCATCATCATCATCATCATCATCAGCAGCAGCAGCAGCATAGTCAACATTATCCACAGCATCACAATCATCATCAGCATCAGCATCATCAGCAGCATCAGCATCGTCATCATCACCAATCATCAACCACACACCACCAACAATCAATCATCGACCCCAACCATCATCATCATCATAATCATCCTCATCCTCATCATCGTCATAATCATTATCATCATCACCAGCATCATCACCATCATCATCGACACAATCATCCTGAGTATCGTTCAGCATCGTCATCGTCATCGTCATCGTCATTGTCACTGTCATTGCCATCATCACCATCACCACCACCACCCTCATAACCACCATCACCATCATCACCAACCATCAATCACCAATCACCAACCATCATTCATAGCCAATCAATCCTCATCAGCATCATCATAGGCATCGTTATCATCATCATCATCATCGTCATCATCATTACCACCATCATCATCATTGTCATCATCAGCAGCAGAATCATAATCATAATAATAATCATCATCATCGTCGTCATCATCATTATCGTCATCATCATTACCACCATCATCATCATTGTCATCATCAGAAGCAGAACCTGAATCATAATAATAATTATCATCGTCGTCATCATCATCGTCATCGTCATCGCATGACTGTTACAATCATAACTAGCATCAACGTTTGGTTCCTCGTGGGCACCCGCATCCATCTCACCCGTCATCCAAAACATTCTCCATGATACAAAGACATACACACACAATGCTTGGGGGCGTCGCGGCCCCGTGCGCGCGACGGCGCGTCGTAGTGGTCTCACACACACACACACACACACGACAACCTCTTGATGTCTTCCCCCGCCCCCTCTCTTTATCGCCTCACCTCCTCGCCCCCCGATCCCCCTGCCCCTCACTGTCCGGATCGTTGCCATGTCTCCATGCATGTCATCCTCATCGTCTTCTCTCGCTCTCCCTCTGACGAGTACGGAGGATCTAGAGAGAGGAGGGGGAGGCGCAGAAAGGGACGAAGGATGGAAAGGATGGGGAGGGAAAAACAGGAGGGAGAGAAGACGAGGAGGAGGCGTGCCCCTCCTACTCATGATCCCTCTGCCCTTTTGATCTGTCTTGCCTCTTGCCTCTCCTTCCCCTCCTCCCCCCCCTTCCACTCCCATTTATCCTTCGTTCCCTCCTCCCATCCATTTTTCCTCTCCCTTGCCTCATCCTCAATCTTCGCCCCAAATCATGACCCCCCTATACCTTCGTTGCTTCCTTTCCTCATCCGTCCTCCTTCTCCCCGTGATGTAACGTAATGTAACATTTCCGCCCGCGCCCTTCCCCTGCTCATGCTCATTGCCTTTTTGTATCCCCTTCACCATCAATATGAGTAGTAAATTTCTTCTCCAAAATTCCCGTTTATCCTCCTCATCCTCTTCCTCGCGCTGATCCTTTTCGTTTCCTCTCCCCCCTGGTCACGTTTCCCCGCCCTCCTCGCCACCTCGCCATCCCCCTCATCATCAGTTTGGTCATCCTCCCGTTTGCTCTTCCCACCATCCTACACGTCACCAACCCTCGAAGTACAATCACGATCCACTTCCAGTACCTTCTCATCCTCCTTCCCGTGATGATTCCTCCGCTCAGAGCCCCCATGGAAGCCCACCCAGCCCAGACCCCCGCCCCAAAATTCCTCCTCACCGTTCCTCCCAATCATGTCGGTTTGGGGTTTGGACCCGCGCAGGCCCATGGTCCTGCATGTAGCCTGCGTCGAGCACCAAGTGCTTCGCGTGGTCATACGTCGGAACCTCTCGAGGAAGAGGCGACGAGGAGAAGAAGAAAATCCTCATCCACCTCCCTCCGATTCCTCCTCCCCTCTCCCTCCCATGTTTTTCGTCTGATAATCGAGATTCCGTGACGAACTAGCATCTCCTGTGCTCTGATCTCCTAAGCCGGGGGACCCCTTCGCACGGATATAAGAAAATGGGTGGGCCCTGAACGGTGTCGTCCCACATTACTGCAGTGTCCCGTCACGTAGATGCGAGAGCGAATAGCGGCACGCGCGCGCGCTAGGAATGAGGCGCGCGCACCCTTTTTCCGCCAAGGCGCAAGCTGCGTCCTATCCTCACCATTGTCTTGAGCCAAACGCGCGCAGCGGCACGCGCATGGAAACTCAGAGGGAAGGCGAGGGGGGCAAGGTAACGACTCTCCCCCCGCGGCGGGCACCAGAGCAACTTCACACCGCGCGCCAGTCTTCGGCACACCTCGCCAGGGGGTCCCCAACCCCAAAGGACGCTTTGCAGCGCCACCCTAAAGGGGCCCCAGGACACACAAATACATACACACAAATAACATGATTCCCTTTATTTTCGTATAGTTTTAGGGTGTTCGTCTCCCCCCCACTTCCCATATTTTCCCGTATTTTCTGGGGAATCGATGATTAATTGTGTCTGTGTGTCTTTTTCCCTCCTGACACCCGTCGGAGTAG